CCAGGTCCTGCTGGGCCAGGTGCGCCCGCAGCTGCCGGATCTCAAACTGCAAGAGGAGAGGGTTGTGGGTCGGGGGGGCGAAGGTGGGGTTTGTGGAGAGGGAGGTGGGGTACAGACCAGCGGTCTGGGGCACTGTGCTCACGGGGGTTCTGAGCACCCAAAGGCTGGACTGCACCGCAGAGCCTCCTCCAGGTAGGAAGTGAGCCCTGCTGCGGCGGAACCGGAAACAGCTGTGCTTTGTGGGAAGCACCTGGAGGCCTCGGGGATCCTGGGTTTGAAGCCCCGTCAGGTGTCTGTGCTGACGATCTGCAGCGGGGACCACCCAGGGCACTGACTAGCTGGCGTCCTCCCCCAAGCGCTGCACCCCGACCCCACTCACAGGCTGCGCCCCGCTCCCACGCTGTGCCCCAACCCTGGTCTCAGATGAGGCTTAGACTCTGGACCTCAACAACCCAGCACTAAAATGGGGCCGTTGGCCTCAAAGGGTGAGAAATCAGCTGCCGTGTCACAGGGTGGCCTGGGCCCGGGAAAGGCAGAGACTCCGAGGTCACAGAGGCCCGAGAGGCAGCCCCCTGACCTCTGGGGGGAGGGGGAGCCCTCCTGCCAGGCGGATGGGAACTTCCCATGGGCACACCCAGCCCTTTCTCCAAGGCTGCTCCTCGGGCGGCAGGCCCAGCTAATGGCCTCCCGGCCGCTCGGAACAGATGCATTATTGATCACTTGTAATCGATAGCACGCTGCCCGCGAGTGTCCCACTGGAATTCAGGCCAGACAGCCGGAGGCCGGGGCCTGCCCAGCCCGAGGCCACGGGGTAGACACAGGGCCTGCAGTGAGGGGGCCGGGAGGTGGGCATGAGAACACCCACTGCAGGGCCTCTGGGAGGGACGGGGCCTGCGGTGGAGACAACATGACGGAGTTTCCCTTGCAAACTGGCCCCGTGGGGGACAGCCTGCCCTGGACCCGGGGAAAAGGAGGTGCCGGCACCACCCTCCTTAATGCACGTCGTTAGCTGAGCATCGCTAATCAGATGATCAGAGGAGCAGGGCCCCGGGGAAGCCGCACGCATTACTGGAGCGAGTGGGCCCGCAGGGCTGGACTGTCATGTGCCGGGCGGGGTGGCCCCTGCGCGGTGGGACTCCCAGCGCGTCTCTGCCTTCGCTGGTCTGGGCTGAGGAGTGCAGTGGACACGCCTCGGCCGATCGATGCGCACTCTGGCCGGAGCGCGAGGGCGTCTAATGCCACAGCAGCCATGTCCTCCCGTCCTGTGTGCTGCCGGCACACCCGTCCGCTCTGGGCGGCACCAGCGCTGATCCCCGCTAGGGCTGCCGTTGGGGACAATAAACACCAGGAGACGGTGGCAAACTTGTGCTTCAGGAGCAGGGGAGCCGAGTGCAAACCTGGCCCCTCGCCACCCACCGTGGGATGACGGGCAGCTGCCGTAAATTTAAATGACGGTGAAAGGATAGCATCCGTTATTCCTCTGACGGCTAATTTATCAGCTACATAGTTTGTCATGAACGCTATCGGCTGTTTTACAAATCACTCCCATGTTTTTCAAAACACACTTGACCTCCCACAGCGGAGATCGCGAATAATCCAGGTAGCAAAGGCTATTGTGCCGAGTGGGGGCCCCTGGAATGAGCCAGCACCAGGCGTCCCCAGAGTCCGGGCAGGGCCCTTTCCTGCTGCTTCTCACCCACGGAAGGCGCTGCGGCCTCAGGGCCGAGGCCCAGCGAGTGATCGGCCACCAGCATTGCCTCGGGGCGCCGGGCGTCCACAACCAGGCCAAGGATGGCGCAGGTGGCCCCAGCTCCCTGACGGGGGCATGACCCTGCCCGTGAGGGGCCAGAGTGGGTAGAGGGAGAGGAGCAGGACAACTGACAGGTCTTGGCCTGATGGATGCGCCCCCCACCTGCCTCCCCGAGACGCCTGTAACGTGGGGTCAAGATGATCACCTGCTTCTTAAGGGAAAAGGCGGGGGGGGGGGGCACTTGGGCAGGGAGGGTCACTAAGTGAGATGACGCCTTTCGCTCCATGGAAAGGGGAAGAGAGGGCCTGTCATGGATCAGGTGACTGTGCAGGTGCCGGCTTCCGGCTTCCTCCTCGGCTCCAAGACCACTGCCCTCAACACCTGGCGCCTTAGGTGTGACTGCAACTGAGCTCCGCCCACAGGTGGTGGCAGAAGCGATGTCGCCACCTTCAGGCCCAGCCAGTAAGCCCCTGTGCACATCCCTTCTGCCCCCTGGGCTACGGGAGAATAAATGCCAGGACCTGGAATTGGGAGGCGCCTGGAGGCAGTGAGGGAAACAGGGCTCTTCCCTCCCAGCCTCAGCGGCCTCGTCCAGGTGGCCATTCCTGCAGGAGGAAGGCGGCCCACAGCCCTGAGGCCACTCCCGCTTCCCTGACAAGTGCGAGGCACTGGACTGGATACCACGGAGCTACCAGCTCTGACCAACAACATGAGCAACAATCCCTGACAGTGCATTTGTCGGTGGTTACCCAGTGATTCAGCATTTCTCTCTCTCGGTTTACATTTTCTGAGGCTCCAATGAGCCAGACTGTATAGATGATAGATAGAGATAGAGAGAGAGATAGAGAGAGAGATAGAGATAGAGATAGAGATAGAGAGAGAGACAGACAGACAGAGAGAGAGAGAGAGAGAGAGAGATAGATAAGGTATAGGTATAGGTATATATAGATATATAGATACAGATATAGGTAATGTCCTGTGGGACATTCCACAGGCTTCCCACCCCTCCAGCGCCTCCTCCAGCCGGGAGAGCCGCCCCGGGAGCAGGGACCCACGGTGCCGGGTGAGGCCGACACGAGGCTCCCCTCCTTGCCGGCCGGCCCTCTGTGCGCTCCCAGCCTGCTCACTGGTGCCAGGTGTCCTGCAGAGCATGCAGCCTTGCTGCCCGCCCGCCCCCCAGCCCCGCCTGTGGACACTGCCATCCCCGCCCCTAAACTCCCACAGACGAGGACGTGACGGTAAAGGGGGGCACGACCTGGCTAAAGTCCTGGGGATGGAGGGTCCCCGAGTCTTCACCACGGTCCCCAGGGAGCAAAGCACGGCTGACACTCAGCAGTGTCTGGGCCCAGCAGCCCAGCAGATAGGCTTCAACCTGCGTCAGGGACGCTGTGCCCAGAAGACGAGGGCTGAGCTGCCGGCCCGGCTGGTGCAGGCTGGAGGCGCAGTGGGTGCCGTGGGCCAGTGCCAAGAACCTGGGCCTGGCGTTGGGGCCGAGTCAGCCTGGCTGGGCCTTCGAGACGCGCCCCCCACCCTCTGATCTCAGCCCTGCACAGACCGAACAGAACCCCTGTGCCCACGTTACCCCCTGCTCCTGGCAGATCTGCGTCAGCCTCTCCAGCTGCTCGTCCTGGACGACCTTGGCCTTCTCGTACTGCTGGATGACCAGCTCCAGCTCCACCTTCACGGGCAGGACGTAAGCTGCGGACAGAGACGGCCGTGAGGACCTGGGAACCGGGCCAGCCAGCAGGTCAGGCCGAGGCGCATTCCCTGAGGGCCCAGGGCCGCGGGATGCCAGGGCCCAACAGCAACCAGAGACTGTGTGGGAGGCGGCCCTGCCCTGTGGGGCTGAGATCTGTCCTCCTAGTGGCAGCACCTCCACTGGGCCAAGGGCTCCACCTCCTGGTCAGGACAGGTGAGCCCGCGTGTGCGTGTGCGTGTGCGCCCTCTTCCACCCAGGCCCCTCCTCTGGGGGCACATGCTGGTCTGTCACCACCTTCTGGAAACAGGGGAGCCACCGGGTCAGGACCCAGCATCTGGGGGACACGCTCAGAGCAGGGCAGCCAGGCCCCGGGAGGGGGAGGCAGAGGAGGGCAGGGAGGGGGCCCAGAGACAGAGCGTGAGTCACTAGGGCTGAGGGAGCCGGGGCTGAACCCACCAGCCAGCAGCTCCCAGACACACTGGCTGTTGGCGAGCGGACAGGCCTGGGGGCACCCAGCTGGGCCCTGGTGGACAGAGAGCAGCACCTCAACCAGGGACCTGAACGAGCCGGTGGGAGCCGCAGGGGGCACTGGCTTGTGAGGAGCTAGTCTTTCCAGGGCAGGCCCAGCTGTCGGCTCTCAGATGAGGGGCGACCACCCAAGCAAACGAGAAAGTCATGTCAAATGCATGAGTGACCTCTGACCTCTGAACTCAGGTGTCTGCGTGGGATAGCCGGGCAGCATGTGAGCGGTTCCTGAACTGACCCTGAGGGAGCAGCGACAGGCTGGGCTCTCCCACAAGTCCCCGCCCACCACCCTGTGCCGGCTGGGCACCCCCCTCCGCCCCTCCCGCGGAGCCCTCCGGACACTCACCATCGATGACCCTCTTCACCCGCCAGATGCGGAGCAGGATGATGAGGCTGATGGCATCCCAGGGGCTCCGGGGCCCGTTGGCCACAGTGGACGCCACCATCGGGGCCAAGGACAGGATGATCACGGCCCCGTCAAACACCTGGGGAGGGGGTTCCAGTGCTGGGCGTCCTCGCTGCCCCA